AAGCTGAAAAAGTTAGACTTGGGTTTAAGCTCGCAACGCAGTACCTGAACAATAGTGATGCAAAACCCTTTCATATTTTGTGTAGTATACCAACAACCAGAATGATGTTGTAAATTCACAGTTTTTCTATAACCACTAGTATTGTAAAGTTCATTAGAATTAAATGAATATAACCATCTTACTCCTTTTGTTGTGCAGTTTGTTATATTCATGTTCCATCTACTTGTTGTTGTTTTTGCACTATGGTTGATTACATTATTGCAGCTGGTAGTAAAACCTGCCTGCTGTACTTCAATTTTAGCTAGATACCCAAAGTTTGCTCACAGCCTGCTGAAAGTTCGATATTTTCTTGGTTGATATTTTGTAGACTATATACTTTTTTTAGCATAAAAAGTTAGAAAATATCTGACTTGAAAGAAAGTGGAGAGACTCCAATTTTGATGGAGTCAATATAATAGCTGACAAAACCATGAGACAACTTGCAAATTTTATTAAGCATCTGACCCACTCCACAATTGAATAAGTCAATGCCAAACTCTAGAAAATTCCCAAACTTCTGCTTGTTAGTGTTAATATTTGCCCATAGATATGTGTCGATGCTGAAACTTTGAAACTCTTTTTCAAGTTTAGTCTTTGCTATGGATGAGACTTGAATATAAGTATTATCATCTTTATCACCATCTCCATCATCATAATCATCTCCTCCATTTCCATTTTCTTCATTTCCATCTCCTCTACTATTTTCGCCATCTTTATTTTCATTTTCATCATTCATATCTCTATTCTTTTTATAATCTTTTCCATCTCCATCATTTTGGTTCCTATTATTTCTATCCCCACTATTTTCATTTCCTTGTCCATTTTGATTACTGTTATTTTTTAAAAAGAGTATATTGTTTGCACCATTTCTATTTATATAGTTTATTATTTCGAATTCATTATCAAATAATGCTAATAGTTTTTTCATTGTTGATATGTCAAGAGGTTTAGTAGCCCAGCAGGCAAGACATGGCATAGAATATCCTTGTTGAATGTCAGGCCCCACTGCATATACAGGCTGTTTGTCTAGTACTTTGTAAATTTCGGTCTTCTGTTCATTCAGTAGGTACAATGATCAACAAGCTAGAGGGTTAGTATATGGCGAAGTCACAACCAATCTTCCAGGATTTACAAGAAATAGTTTGTGTAAAAAAACTGCAAAGGCTAGAAATATCTACAAGTTGTTTGGAGAAAGTTATGACC